ATGTACAGGTGTATGTATTCACCTTGCCCGATAGAACTTATACGGTATAGTTATTTATTGACCTTTTTGTGTTGTATTGCTGTTATCATTATAAATATAATTAATATTGTCATTAATGTCATTATTATTATTATCAATATCATTATTATTACTTGTATTATTATTATCATCATTATAATTATTGTTATCATTATTATTATTGTTATTGTTGTAAATAATAATACATGAGATTTATATAGCGCCATTATCCATTCTAATTAAATGATCAAGGCGCTTTAAAAATATTAGGGAACACATTACATCATGACAAATGAATCATGTACATTTACATAAGAAAGAAAAATACAAAAATACAAAAATGAATGAATGTCTGTCTGCAAAACGCAAAATTGAACAAATAGGATTTAAGGTTGCTCTTAAAAGACTTTGTTGTTGCTCTTATCATTATATTTACATAGATGTTGTTTAGACATATAGGCCTACTTACCCTCCTCGGATTTTTATTTCTTGATACCCCCCCCCCCCCTTTTGCAGGCGTGTCAGAGATTTTGAAAATATATATCCCCGCCCCCCCCCCCTTTGGGAAATGATACTACACCCGCCACTGGCCTGATGTAGGTTTTGACAGATTGCGACCCCTACAATGCCACAATCCAGCCAATAAGTTAACATCTCGCCTCCCTCGAGCCGGTAATGAGGCTGTCACTTCGTTTTTATGGCGAGGCGACAACTTGAGGCCGTGTGAAAACCGACGGTTTTGGATACTCATGAATATTCATGAGCCGACTCTCCGTTAATTCAAGGATGGAATTTTGTTGTCTCTTCTATAGAGACTTGAGTCACGTGTCTGTAGAACAGGGGAATTGTGGTCATTAATTATCATCATTTTTATTAATCATTATTATTGTTTGGAATGTGCGAAAAATTACACTGACATATCATATAATGCGAACATGATTTGTATGGGATGTAAATTAGGGTATCAAAATTGCCCATTGGTTGATATCTCGAAAGTCTTTTCAAATTCTTTCCATTTAGTTGAGGGGGCAGGGGGGGGGGGTAGGGGTATACCAATACAGTTACACATTAGGTACATCTTGCTATCTTGAACGTGCTATTCATTACAATCAAGGTAGTTGCCTGTAATTTATTGATTTGTATTAATCCCTCTTTTTCTTTCTCTGTCTTTCCTTTATAGATCTTCTACTCGGAATGTCATCTACGCTCTACACAACATTGGAGTCGTTTTAATTGAAATATGACATAGAGGTGTAATCACAATTAACAACATTATAATCACCACCATCCCGACAAGCAACATTGTCATCGTCATCACTATAATCACCATCGTTATCATCAATACCGTCATCGCCGTTTTGTATGCATGCATCAGTGACACAGATTGCGAGACGAGATACTAGCCACTGATGCGTATGCGGTAAAGGGTGCAACGAACACTCATTTTGGGTCAATCTTCCAGAATCTTTGGAGAATCCGTTCGACCAATCATGGTGCTACCTTGCGATTTAGACACCAGAGGTCATAGGTCAAGCATCCAACTCACCAACCTCACCCCTGTCAAACAGATGCAACCCGGAAGCGGAAACTTCATCCCTCAGATAACCAACATAAGCAAGGACTCGCACATAGCAGGTAACGTCGTAGGTGGCGCCCCTTGCGCGAACCGTTATCAGAACACCGACATGCGACCGCCAAGGAGCGAAGCGCAACTGAGTCGCGAAGAGCGCCGCCGGAGACGACGCGCAACGGCGAAATACCGAACTGCGCACGCGACGCGGGAGCGGATACGTGTCGAGGCTTTCAACGTGGCCTTTACGGAGCTGAGGAAATTGCTGCCGACGCTGCCCCCGGACAAGAAGCTCTCCAAGATAGAGATTCTCCGACTCGCCATCTGTTACATCGCTTATCTAAATCACGTACTAGATGCATAAAAAAAGGACCTCCATAACTGTTGTCTTCGCCATAGAATTGGCATTTTTTACTAAAGCATTTACGACTACGTCACCTTTGTCTAGCAGTGAAAGAAAGAACATGGATTGCCTCTCTTTGTTCTGAGAGAAACGACTAGAAGGTCATCATTAATTAAGGAACGTAATATGCTGTCATTTTTATAAGCAAGAAGAAGCCGAGCAAAAGTGTGTGTTCATCATAGCATTGCCTTTAGTTGGAATTGATTTATCTTCAAAACTGTCGAATATATTATACATATAATTATGTATAACTGTGTTGGGTATATAGTGACCGCAAAGATGAATTCACTCTCCTTGCACTGTTGGCAATATGAACACATTATGTCCACACTGTTCAATAGCGTGTTCCCATTATGCTTTGCGTTTTGAAACACGGTTTAGCACAAAGATAAGTCCACATTGCAGTGATGATATGATACAGGATCAAGTTATCATCTGAACAACCCTTTACACATTTTTGTTGTTGTATTGTGTGTAACATATTCATGTTTTAACAGATCATTACAGTTACTGGGAGAATGTGAACGTGAGTACATAATTAAGAGTGCGACACCTGAAAATGTGAATGCCCCTTTTTTTTCTTCAGGATTGACCATTGAATATTTCGTGATATTTTTGTACGATGGTCATTTTCCTTGAAAGACTTCGTCAGTTGCATGAATTATTAGAACATGTGATGACCTATGGCAGGCTTTGACAGCTCCCTTCAGCATGTTTAGTCTAATAATAATAAAAGCTAGTTTTTATATAGCGCTTTTCAGGACCGAAGGCCCTCTCAAAGCGCTTTACAGAAATATATATTATTACCCCGGTCATCGGATTCAGGCTTACCTGCACACAATGTATGCACATTCTTCACTCCCTGGGGAGCATTCCAACCAGGCATCATTTTTACAAGCGCACACTTGCTAACCTAAGCACATTAATTTCGCATCCTACCGGGTACCCATTTAACACCTGGGTGGAGAGTGGCAAATGTAGATCAATGTCTTGCCAAAGGACATTAGGGCCGCGGTGGGACTTGAAACGCGGACCTTGTGATCCACAGTCCGGTGACATATCCACTCGTTCACGACACCTCTACCTCTACTGAGTCAGTTTCGGCACTACAAATCGGATTTTTACAATCATGATTTTCTTTCATGTCCCTTAAACCTTTATGTCAGTAACAAAATATGCAATTTCATTTATTCTTAAGCCGACCGTTTTCTTCTAGATCATAACTTATCATTCAAACGAATTGTCTAAAATGAATTGGTAATAATTATTATTTGGGATGTCAATTTTTGCTTTATATACATGATAGTAGATGGCAAAGATGTTTCTGAAATATCACGATTATCTAGGTGTATTTAATTTGATACTGGGGGTGTGCAATCTCATTTTAAGATTATGTTATATACAACAATATCGTGTGATTGAGTTCGTTAATGTACGTATTGTTTTCTTTTTGTACACCGTTATGGGGGAACACAAGATGTAAATAAAATGAATATGACCAACGGTCAATATTGCGAATGAGACTACTCTGAGAATAATATTTTTTTTCTATGTAACCTACTTGTGATTCGATTTCAAAGGGAGTGTAGCTTCGCAAATACGCCATCTACGTCTTCTTTTGGAAAACTTCAAGTAAACGAATGGACTTGATTAACGGTTGTCAGCGACTTAATTAATCTCTACATAATCATCGTTCGCGAAACAGACCGAAGTTCTCCTCACGCTTCTGTTTCGCGTATGTTGCACGCACGCGATTGCTTCGGTTTCGTCGTCTGAAGTCGTATTATACCCGATTGGTCCCGAGTCAGGCCACGGGGAAAGACACGTATTCTCGTCAGGCTACACTCCCTTTAATTTGCATTTTATACATACAGCTAAATATATTCAACCAATCAAACAATCAAATTCTTAACTTCTTTCTTTCTTTCTCTTCTTCTCTCTAAAGCTCTATAATTAAATCCCGCTTTGTCTTCGCCAACCTTCACCCCACCCTCTCTCCCTTTCTCTCTCTCTCTCTCTCTACATCTCTAGGTCTTTCTCCCTCTATACATCTCTCTCTCTCTCTCTCTCTCTCTGTCCATCTCCCCTCTCTCTGTCCATCTCCCCTCTCTCTCTCTCTCTCTCTCTCTCTCTTTCTATCTATCCATCTCCCCCTCTCTCTCTCTCTCTATCTATCTATCCATCTCCCTCTCTCTCTCTCTCTCTCTCTCTATATATATATATATATCTATCTTCCTCTCTCTATCTATCCATCTCCCTCTCACTCTCTCTCTCTCTATCTATCCATCTCCCTCTCACTCTCTCTCTCTCTCTATCTATCCATCTCTCCCTCTCTATATATATCCATCTTCCTCTCTCTATCTATCCATATCCCCTTCTCTCCACCCCCTCTCTCTCTCTCTCTCTTTCTCTCTCTCTATCCTCCGTCCCTCCCTGGTTATTTCTCTGCTATCAACTGTTTTTGCTCGCATTATCCTCTCCGGCTGGTTTAGAACCATTCACACTTTTTCTCATTAATAATCACGCAGCTGTAAAGAGTTACAAAATTAATCATTTATTGCTGATCCGTATCTATATAGCAAACACTACAAAATTTGATCAAATAGATTAAAATATTTTGAATAGTCGATTAAAAATATGTCTATGCATCTTAAATATAAAAGCGAAGGCTGTCCTTAATTATTGAGTATGTAATTCATTGATAGATACATTTACTCTATAGAGTTACATCCAAGCTCGTTAAAATCATTACTTTCAGTCATTAAGACAATCACATTAACTACCGTACATCCAATCGCAAGACTTTAATTAATAAGGAGTTAATATTTTCATTGTACAGTTGATTGTGTTTAGCGTCAATCCGAAACTATATGCGTCCTAAATTTAACACTATTTTCATGTTTAAGACAAGCTTTATCATTGGCATTAACTTTCCATCTCTGTGTAATCATTGTGTAAAATCTGTACATCTAATTACCATAACCACTACCTAACACTGTTCATGTATTTACAAGTGCAAAAAAAGAAAACAAAACAAAAACGCAGAAATAGCAACAATGAAAACAAACCTACTGTATAGCAAAAAGGCTTGTTCAGATACGGCGCTGTAAACCACGGCAAAAAAGCTGAAGATTATTGTTTTAATTATGTTTTTATGTTTTCGAGGCACTATGGATTGGCTTTAAAAAGATAAGGAAACGCGCTTTGCAATCAAATCAATATTCATATCATAATCAGTTTACATAATTATGTACTTAAAAATGCAAAAAGGCAAGGATAAGCAATATCTCTTTGCGTAAAAAGTACTTCTTTGCTTTGAATAACAAGTAATGAAGATGAAAATGTTAAAAACAAAAGATGTAACATGGAATATTTTGTAAAACTAATTCTAAAGCAGTATGGAAAGAGAGCTGAAAAAATGTACAAAAGCAAAACCCATAATATACAGTAGGTCTAAGCAAAAAAGAAGGGTACATTTTTATATTTCAATACCACTAAAAGCGCCAAACACAACAGGCCTTGAAACATTTCTTAGTTTAATTCATAGATTCTATCCTCCACTCACTCTCTTGTTCTAAAACATACACACATATTAAAGCACTTATGAGCGACCATCTTAGGTACTTATCAACTACTGTATACAATAAATCATCGTCATTATAATTGAAACAAAACATTGTCCTTGAAAATGCATGATGTCTCATGATATTTGAAACTTTGTAAATTATTAGCAGTTATAGGCATATCATGTACAATGCTGTATATAGATTGAAAGACATAGTCATTATGGATGGATCAATAAGTATAATTATAGAATGTTATGTAGTTATTGATTTTTATTATAATGTTGTTTATTGTAATATAATGCTTCAAGGTTTGCTAAAGGCCACATTTCTACTCTTTCTCTCTCCTCTCCGTGTAAAGTTTATTCTTTTAATCAGTGACACAGCATATTGACTACGAAAATTCCCCCCCCCCCCCCGTTTCTCACCATTTTCACGCATTGTGACTGAGTGTGATAAACTACAATTTCGCAAATACTCGCATATAGCGACAGTGTAAACACAACATGGATTCGGAACATAGAATCTATCATGTGAAAACATCGTGTTCACATAACTTCTACATTCAGTCAGGACTACTATCGGTTTTCCACCATTTCCTAAATTAGTGCTTTGTCGTTATTTTATTTGCATGAGCAAGGTATATGGAGCGCATGCGCTTTACGTGTTCAGAAAATGAGGGAATTGCAATGTTATTGCTACACAAATATGTTATATCTTACATTGATCATTCAATTGCCTTTCGTCTGAACGGCTAGAAAATATCAATTATAATTATGTCACATACCATATTAAAATATCAATACAATTTTTTCCTTAGAGACATTCTAAGATAAGGCAATTTCTTCATACCTACAACGCATGGTGGCATGTCGTGCGTGTGCGCCCTCTATCGTCATTACGCGAACAATAGCGGTAACAAGCTACTTTTTAGGGATAGAGGGAAACCGATATAGTTCTGACCAACAATGCAGGATACTACGTTCTTTCCAATCGGGGTTTCATCGCGTTTAAGCCCAACTCTCCGAAGCGTACCCCTTGTTCTCTTGCTCCACGTCCGCCTGGTGTACGGGGGCTGGAGGCGGGTAGTTGGCCGCTGCCGGTGGGTGAGCTGGGTGGCCCCCAGCGGGGGGATATGGGGTCGTCTGATGCTGGGGTACGGGGCGGTACGAGACGGGGTCGGGGGTAGCCCGGTAGGGTGAAGGTTCACGGCTCGCTCCGGTGCCGTAGCTGAGGCCGGGTTTCTCTTGAGATGGAGGAGGACCGCGGTGATATCCCGACTGAGTCGCTGGTGTTGTCTTCATCTCGATGTCCGAGAACCTGGTCAGTGCCGAGAAGAAAAGGAGAAATGATAATTATTAAAGCAGACTGTTATAGATATCATTTTTGTTAATGTATTTTAAATTTTGCATTGCTTTTATTTCTTTCATATTGCTTTCATACATTGCAAGGATTTTGTATTAATGATCTGATACTCGTCAAATACTGATCATTATCATCTTCTCTCCCATCATTATCTTCATAATCATCACAGACACCCCTTTATAATCATCACATCTTCTTATTCCCATCTCCTCTTATCATCAATACTCTTATTATTATAATCATGCGCATCGTGAATATTATCAGCATCACCATTATCATCATCATGACAGTCATTATGACCACCTATTGCTTTGTATAAATCCTGCTCCTTTCTTTCTAAACATCACCATTATCGTCACTGTCATCATTGTTCCTCAGTGGCGGATCCAGTGAGCAAATTTTCGGCCGGCGCGATTTTCAAATTTTCGCGAGGAAAAAAAAAATGATCACTACCCCCTCCCCCACCCCCAACTGAGCAAATTTTCGGCCGGTGCGCTTTTCAAATTTTCGGGAGCAAAAAGAAAAGAAATTGGGCCCCCACCCCTAAGAAATCCTGGATCCGCGCCTGCCTCTAACCATCATCCCCGTGTCACGATCACCTTCAGCACCACCAAACACCATGACCATCAACATGATGATAATGATGATGATCCTCATCCTCCTCCTGATACTGCTCCTGGGGAGGCGTTTCACAAAACTTGTCACTAGTGACAAATGACAATTTGTGTTATAAGCTACTGAAATACTTGCTTCTGATTGGTTATCAACAGATTTGTCACTGGTTTTTGTTATTTGTCAATGAAAAAAGGTTTTGTGAAACGCCCCCTGCTCCTCCTGCTCCTCCGCATCATCTTTATCTGCATCATCATCATTACCACAGCTGGTAATGCCTTTAGATTTCTTTCTCCTTCAATTCTATTAGCCTATTCTTTCTGTCTAATTTCCTATATACCGCCCACGAGAAGATGCAGATAACGGCGGCGACACCACCATCACCATCGTTATTTCATCATTTCACCATTTCCTCATTCTCTCCCCCGCACCACCATTGCCATCATTATCATCATATTTATTTGTTTCTTCATCATCATCATCGTCATCATCATCATCATCGTCACCATCACCATTATCATCATCATATTCGCCTCAAGTACACAACCTTCTTCACTGTTTCCCCTCCCTTTAACTTTTCTCACTTTCTTTTCCCTTTTAAATATTGTAACCACTTAAACTCATATCCTGCCATAAGGCCGCGTGCACCGTTATAGTGCTTTGTACACGCGAGCACGCTATCAAATTGCTGCTTAATTCACGCCACAGTTTAGCTGCTTTATGCATGCATGCTCGCTTCGTAATAGCAGTTATTGTTCATGCTCATTGTACTGTGCTGAGTGCTTCTCACGCGCTATTGATTGCACCATCAGATTATCAGCTTATCTCAAAATAAACTTGGCACAGGGGGATTTGTGGCTTGGCACTATGGGGATTAGCCCTGTGGCACTGGGCTGTATTCATTATGGCAGGATAAGAGTTAAACACCACCATCAATCCTATCATCATCATCTTCATGACTAACACCAACGCCAACACCGTAACCATCATCATAACCATCATGACCTTATCACCAATCATGTTCATGATTATAAGGACGACGATGATCATCTTTATGAGCATCATCATCAGCAGCAGCAGCAGCATGCATAGGCGTAAATCCTTACGTAATACATATTGTTCAGGGGGGGGGGGGTGAATGAATAGATCATCCCCCTGAACAATAGGTATTACGTAAGGATTTACGCCCATGGCAGCATGGATAATGTTCCTTACATCTCTTTTTCTCGCTTGAGCCTGTCATCCTTCCTGTCTTTCTTAGCTGCCCACAGGAAGATGAAGATAGCGGCAGCGACGAGAAGTATGGCGCCGACCACCCCGCCGACGATAGCCATGGCCAACTCCAACGGGTTCAGTTGTTCTGCCAAAAAAAGAAGAAGAGAAAACCATAGTCGCGGAACCAACTTATCCCATCCTATAACCCAACTATTTTGAGCCATGAGTGCAACAACTAATTATCGTCTCTGTTAAGGCACACTGCACTACTTGTAGCTACTTGCGCCCTCTATATAACAAACAATGCCTAATCGGTGACTATTGGTCCCCCATGATCCTCCTTTTCTTATGTTAACTGAGAGCTGAGTTGATGAGATAACCAGCTGTCCAGTGACCTTGCAGGGAGGTCTTATCCCTCCTGTAAACTAGTACTGATAAGCTTTAAGATTCTCCTAACACTGTAAATTCGGAATGAATTTCGAGTGTAATAGATTCATAATTTAAAAATGAATAATCCAGGTTAATAGCGTGCAATAAACTTGAATAATTAAACTTAATCGATTCAACTGAAGGAAAACAATAAGAGAAGCTGTGATTTATTTCAAAATGACACCGTTTCAAGAAACTGCCATAGAAACAACATCACAGACATCCCATTGAAACGAGTGTTAAACTTAATACACACATCTCAATGAATTATCGGCAAACTTGTACGTACGATTGTTTCATGAAACACTAGCCTGGCCGGGGGGCCTGTTTCATAAAACTCGTTATCTTTAACAAATGCTAAATCTCTATGGCAAATTTGCTCTCAGCCAATCAGATGCCATGATTTCAGTAGCTTATAACAGTAGCCTGTAACTTGTTATTGATATCAAGTTTTATGAAACAGGGCCCAGGTTTCACCGAGTAATTTGTTGTATGCTTCAATCAAACGTGTTCATTCTGTTTATTTAATTAATGTTACTACATTTATTAAATGTAGTAACCTTTAATGTATATGTCTTAGTGAAGTGCCTTCATACAAATATTTGCATCTCAATAATCAGAATTGCGAATTGCATACAGTTTATGTCGCTAGGTAGGTAGTACAAGCATCATGGCGTGCCCTACCTACATTTGTAACAACAAATAGTATAAACAATTTGCATTTTGGCTATTGAAATAATAATAATAATAGCCTAATAGTCCTCTCCAAATTTTATTAAACCGAAACGGAAATTCTTTTTGCCCAATTGATCGTGAGCCCGGCAGCCACTGAGCAGCGCCAGATCGACGTTGCTCTATCCCTTATTGTTGAACGCCAAACAAGGTAGCAACAACTCCCATCTGTTAACGTCTTTTGGTATGACGCGGCCGGGGTTCGAACCCACGACCTCCCGGTTGTGAGGCGGGCGCTCTACTGACTGAGCCAACACTCCGGCATTCTTAACAAGTGACTCACTTGTTAAGAATGCCGGAATTGTATTCGGAATACAAAAATTTGTTCGAGGCACAAAGACGTATGCATTAAACTTGATTACATTACGAGAATGTCCTTTTTCAATGTCTCATAAAAAGACTCTTAGTTCACTCGATACTAAACTTCAATTTCAAAATGCCGTCCTCGATACTTACGGTAGCATTTGTCACAACAAATAGTATATACAGTTTGCATTCTGGCTATTGAAATACAATTATTCTTAACAAGTGAATAAATTAATTTGTTCGAGGCACTTCAGAAAGACGTGTGCATCATGGTTACATTACGAGAATGGCCTATTTCAATGTCTCATATTAAAAGACTCTTCGCTGTTAAACTCGATACTGAACTTTATTTCCAAAATGGCGTCCTAGATACTTACGGTAGCAGCCTGGTTTATAGCCGGTCCAATGCTCATACTCTTGGCGGCAATGTCTGTACTGGTTACCGTACCGTTCGTACCCGATGTCGCAACTGTATGCCACCTCGATACGCTCTGGAGCGCGGTCAACCGCCGAGATGGACCCGTGAATGGGCGTCTCCAAGCCGCCGCATAGCAGACTCTCTGCAGAAGAACATTTGTAAATGGAAATTACGTTTGATTTGATTATTCGGGAGGTATAAGAAAACAAACATCATTTATGAACCGGTTATGAGCCCCATGTAAGTTGAAACACGAATGAGATATTCATCCCTAACGTATTCGATTGGTCACATGAGTAGAATATTGATACTGCGAGACTTCGTAGCTCTTCCACATGCGAATTGAGGAAAATTCCAAATCGTATCAGGATCGGGAAAATGTGAATACAGGAGCAAAGTTTGTCACCCCCTCCCCCCCCCCCTTTCGGGGGGGGGGGGTGGGAGAAGACAGTGTCAAGAGAAGATGGTACGACCTCGCTCTCTCGCGAATCGTCCACATCACAATCGCAACCAATTAAAAGTTACGGACTTGTTAAAACAATTACTCATTTGAGGTGTTCACACTCGTACAAGCATTGCTTTTTAGTGGACCCCTCTGTTTCCAATATTTATTTCGACATAATATGTTATATATGTTTATAACTGATTTGTAATGTTTTGTTGGAAACATAAATTAATTGAAATTGAAAAAGAAAATTCCACCTAAAGCATGTTAAAATAGCCTTGCACATTACCTACATGCACTATAAAAAGGCGAACACGACAATGCGACACTACACAATCCTGACAGGATTTCTATGGGCTATATGGTACTCTTTTACTGATAGGTTTCTCGAAAGTCTTTGCGATCAGGGAGTTGTTTCATAAAGATCCTAAGTCGAAACTTAACTCTAAGTTGGACTTAAATATGATGGAGAGCCATTTGTAGCCTTAAAATAAAATATATTCAAAAGCAAAATTGAAGTATTAAGACTTTTTATAAATTCCACATTAAGAACGTGAAATCTCCTTGATAATACTAGAAAATATGAATGATTTGAATCAACATGTTATGCCTTTTAAAATAACTTAGACAAATTTTTTTCAAAGATGCTAACGGCTTTCCATAAATTTTAAGTCCAACTTAGGGATAAGTTTAACTTAGGATCTTTGTGAAACACCCCCCGGGCTCCTGTATCTTACCCAGGCATTCGTTGACGATGTCGTCTTCCTGCGCGCCTCCGCTCCAATCCCCGGTCGACTGACACACCCTGTACTCGGGACCGATCGGAATGAAGTCGTCATCGCATCGGAACTCAAGCTCCGAACCGACCAAGTGGTTCTTCTCACGCAGGAAAGTCTTGGTGCCGTTCTTGGGGGTCATGATGTACTGGCACGTGGTGACTGAGAGAGAGAGAGAGAGAGACAGACAGAGGGGGGGGGGGGGGGGGGGGGGGAAAACAAGACATTAAAGCAGATAAAATATGAGTGGACGAATAATAGATGGATGAATAAATAAACAAATCAATCAACTAAGAATGAAAGAAAGAAACAAAGATAGAAGACGAGGAGGAGGAAGAGAATGGATTACATTTATTTCCAGAACCGGTACATTTTCCTCTTCTTTCATGATTCCCTACTTATAGAGGAGAACCGTCGTTTTTGCTGTATATAATCGGCTGCATAAACGATACTGACCCCTACCATCTAAAAAAAAAAAAACTCTTTGATTAATCAATAAACTAAGGGAGAATATAAGCAGAACAGTCGGGTTGAGTGACCCCCCCCCCCCAAAGTAACACCTAGATCAATTTTTTTCCTTCTGATTAACATATCTTTAGTCCGTGCGTGGAATAAGTGGAAAACCGATCTGTAAGTTGATCGTGAAGGACTAAGCTCAATTTGTGTAACATATAATTGTTGTCCAGTATATTTCACACCGGAATTTCTTGATAGGACTTTGCTACATTCGCACCTTTCACAAGTTCATGGACAGGTTAATTGATATTGACTTTGGTTGATTCAAGGCCCCGTTTCATAAAACATTTTATCTATAACAAATGCTAAATTTCTATAACAAAACTGCTCTCAGCCAATCAGATGCCATGATTTCAGTAGCTTATAACAGTAGCTTGTAACTTGTTATTGATATCAAGTTTGATGAAACCGGGTCCTGAGCTCTCTCTCTCTCTGGTGTTTGCGATCGTGTTGTGTCTTTCATAGTATACTCACGATCACGCAGCGCCCTCTGCGCTTGCTTATAGTCGTCGTACGCCTTCTTGGTCGCCTTGCCCAGCTGTAGTAACCCTGTCGACTGGATGTCGTAGATGCAGTACGTGTTGCCGTCGCACGTATCGACGACGGTCTGGGAGTCGAGGTACGTCGGCAGGTTGCCATCAGGAGCAGTGAAGTCAGGTACGAAGTCGTTGTCCTGGAAGTAATCGTGGTTTTGGCCCTGGTCGTAGAGGAATAAACTGTCCACCGGGTTGATCTCCCCTGGTGAGATATTTGAATATTTCTTTGACTTAGTTTGACTTGACTGAAATCAGTTGATTTGAATGATTAAATCATCTCTTAAATCCTCACTGCACAACTTAATGCTACTTGCGCCATCTATGTAGCAAACAATGCTTAATCGGTGCCTGTTGATCCCCCATGATCCTTTTTTCCTATGTTAATTGAGAGCTGATTTGATGAGATAACCACCTGTTAGTGACCTTGCAGGGAGGTCTAATCCCCCAGGCCAAACTAGAGCAGACGGGCTTTAAGCGTACCAAATGAATTAAAGATCCTTTCATCATAATCGTGGGATTTTTCTTTCGTTATTTAGTCAGCTATTCTTTTTGAAATCCTTTTCAATTTCCTTAGCAGACACCAAATTCCAGAGGGTATTGCAGGTCCCAGAATCAAATCCCAGAACACCTTTCTAATATGTTCACATGGCCTTAAAGGTCCACTGCACTACTTGTAGCTACTTGCGCCCTCTATATAACACACAATGCCTAATCGGTGACCATTGACCCCCCCCCCCATGATCCTCTTTTTCTTATGTTAATTGAGAGCTGAGTTGATGAGATAACCACCTGTCCAGTGACCTTGCAGTGTGGTATAATCCCTCCTGAAAACTAGTACAGATAAGCTTTAAACATCTCCCTTTTCCTCTGATTTCTTTTTACAAAGTTATGATTAAATTGGGGACATTGCGATCTAGAAAATTTAGCAGCGTAAACCATAATTTATACATTTAAAACTACCGTAGCTAATTCCGAGCTTATATGGCTTGGTAAATCTATTTGCGAATTTTTCCACAATTTCCACAAAATCATAGAATTAATAAAACAAATAATACAAAACTTACATGATTTGCCAAACTGGTTATAGATTACTTCCGCGGTCGCGTTGGGGTCAACGGATGTTCCTCCATTAGAGGTCAAGTCGTTGTCTGGCACCTCATCCCAGTTGCCTAGCAACCCCTCGACGTAGCCCTAGATAAGATATACCATAACATCATGCATCAGGGAAGAATCGGGAAGAGGGGGTGGGGTTTACTTATAGAGAAAGAGTTACAAGAGAGAGGAGAGGGGGGGGGGGGAAGAGAGAGAGAGAGCGGAATAGGAAAAAAAGGGGGGGGGGGGGGTTAGAAGACGAAGGCAGAAACAATAACATAGGATTCCATAGGTCGAAGGTGAAAAGAGAAGGGCCCGTATTATTATAAAAGTATAAGTTAAACCCGACCTTGGATCATAAGAGCCCGTTTAACAATGGCATTGTGGCAATGATACAAATTATCCTTCGTTGACATCAATTTTGAACAAAAGTTGATGCCCAATAGTGGGTTTCGATTGCAATAAATTCAGAACAGAGACGCAGAGGGTAAAAGCCTTCGTTAGAGCTTTCGCTCTCTTCGATTGGTCATTACTGCCCATTAAAGCCCCCGCCCCTAAAAAACCCCACAACTTTATTGATATATATTATTATTTATATCAACAACACCAACTATAACAGGAACAACAGCAACAACAAAAACAAAAAGGTTGGTCTTTTTTATTGATTGAACTTGATGGCATGTGGGGCCCGCCATATGAGGCAGGTCTGCCACCACGATTACGGTCAATTCTATACCTTGAATTCATCGGGGATGACAACTTGGATGAACATGCCCTCGGCGGTGCCGTTGACGACCACGCCCATTTCCGAATCCTGGAAGGTGATAATGACCTGGGTCACGTTGCCGCCTTCGTACTTCTTCGGGAAGGAGAGGTAGAACCCTGACATAGAGAAGAAAATAAAAGAAGGTAAAAACAGATCAGCTTTTCTAATTTTTTTGAAAAATTGCTTACGAGGCGATCGTGAAGACTGTCAAAAAGCATCTCCGGTTATTTTCAGTAGCCGTGTGCGTCACCCATTGACATATTAACCGGAAATGAGAATGATATATGACGTTATCCAAACACAATTTCTATAGCCAATACAATATGGGAATAAAATAGTTGATTTTGTTTTCTTCAAAAGTTTTTTGCGATTGCTTTTACAATCTTTACCCTGTCTTCAATGCTACCCTTATTTTTCAATGGCCCCGTGCGACATATATTATACTAAATGGCCACTGTGATCCCGTCAGTGAGAACGCGATGAGGTTACCTTCAGCTTAGAAAGATATAATATTTACCCTCTGTGTTGGGAAGATGAAGATTTCCCCCACCGATTTCGTTTTTTTTTTGGGGGGGGGGGGGGAGGGGGGTGGGGGGGGGGGTTTCGATTTGATTTCTTAAAAACTCATTGAATTTAGCTGACACTCCAATTTCGGCGAAGATTATCATTTAAAATGGTACCTTCGTCATTAAATTTTTGCACGTTTGATACAATATGAGATATCGTATATTATACAATTTTGTTAAAACTTCCTTTACGTTACTAGGGCCCCGTCTCATAAAACGTTGCGATTGATCCAAATCAATCGCAATTCCTCCAATCAAACGCAAATTGGCATGCTCCTTTCTTTTATGTACATAGTTGCGATTACTATCAACTTTTTGTCAGACGGGGCACTGATCTAAAAATGACGAGACTATGCGTCTTTCCTGAGGCCCACTCGGGGAAAATCGGGTAGAATACAACTACGGACGACGCGACCACATGAGGCCTACGTGTTCATGTGCGTGCAACATACGCGAAACCGAAGCGTGAGGAGAACTTCGGTCTGCTTCGCGAGCGCTAGCGCGCGCTGACCCAGTTAATCAAGTCCATTCGTTAACGCGCAGTTGTCCAAAAGAAGACATAGATGGCGTCAACCAGTATTTCCCATGCTACAGCCCCTTTAAACTTACCATCCAAAGCAAGTCTGGTCTGCGAATCTATCTTGAGATATTTTCCCTGGTAAACGATCTGAAGAACTGTCTTCGAGCTGTGCTGGATCTCAATGTTGCTCCGATCCTCTTCCTTCATGGCCACGGAGGTGAGTCGAGTGGCTTGGACCCTATTTCCTGCAGAATAGGAGAAATAGAAATTAAGTCAGTTGTATTTAAAGGGGAAATCCAGCCTGATATCAAATTGGTTTTAAAGGCATCGTTTAACAATGTTAAATCTGAGATGCACGGCCCAACGTGTTATCAGTGTCTGTGATATGGTTTAATATTGAAGCCCTAAACAAAAAAAAATCGCTTCAAATTTATCAAGAAGTGCCTAAAAAAAGTAAAAATCTTTAAGTGACCGGATTTACCATACTCGTTTTCCCCAATAGACCGTAGTGTTATGCAGGCACGTAGCCACGGGGGCACGTGCCCCCAATTTTCTTTCCAAGATCGGTTGAACTTTTTGACACCCCTCCCCAGGACGTCGATCAATTACATGTATGTGCCCCCCCCCCCAATCAAATTCTGGCTACGGGCCTGGTGTTATGAAAACTGTTGTGAAAAAGCACGTGCCCCCTAAAATTTCCAAGATCGGTTGAACTTTTTTAGACCCTTTATTTTTACCTCGATCGATTACATGTATGTGCCCCCCCCCCCCCAAACATCGAACTCTGGCTACGTGCCTGCTTTCTAGATAACCTTTTCACGGGAAAAGGAAATCGAAAAATCCCTTTTCATCTTAGGCGTCAATCACACTTTGATTACAGTTCACCTCCCCCTTCCACCGCTCCTTAATCTAATCTAACCCCGATTAAATCGCTAGTATGAACGCAGAATAACCCATCCGATCTCAAAGGCGGTTTTCTCACCTTCCCAATCCGGCATCTGTTCGGTCCTACCCTGCAGTAAGAACCGGTTCTGGGCTCCCGTCGTAGACCGCATGAGTGTCCATTCCCCTTGCCGTTGAAGGAGTATTCCACGCCGTCGAAAGTTACGAAGTGCGGATCTCCAAAAACCACGGCTGTTACATAGCAAAATATAAAAGATTGGGTTTTGGCAATGCTATGGATATGCAAATGCAGTATAGTTTGGATGATTCATGTTTTTGGTCTGAGTTTAGAGTTAAAATAAAAACAATATAAATAGACCAGGGGGAACTTACACTCTCCCTGAATAGACCAAACAAATACAGAAATTCTATTCAAAGAGTGAAAAATTTACAATAAACAGAATATTACCATAGCCACTTGAAAATATAATGACGATAGGAAACACAAAAAACATACAAAGATTATTATGATTATCAATATTTTATTATTTCATAATTGTCTTCTTGTTTTCTGAGATGTCCGAAACCTACCCATTCTCGGCGAGTCGTACCAGCGGCAGTCCCTGGTGGGGCGGTGCACCTGGTAGTACTCGCAGAGATCACCCCACACACAGCACGAATAGTAGGGTATGATGTCGTTTATCCAGGTGGAAAGCACCGGGACAGCTTTGGGGGCGTTGTAGGGCGGCACTCCGTTGACGGTCGTTCGGTGGGAGAAGCTGCCCGAGAAACTGTCGCCTGCATAAACCAGGTTTTCCTCGTAGTCATAGCAACAAACTGAATCAGCGTTCTGGGGGCTAATGAAAATAACGTACAGCATAATATTCACGTTTCTTCCGTTTATTGTCGTTACTATTATTGCATCTAATATCTTCTTCATTTTATTGTTATTATGGGCGTACAAGGTGGGGTAAAGGGCGAAGGGAGCAGTCTCTCCTCCCCCTCTCCCAATATTTTGACATTACCATTAATATCAAAGGCAGCTGCCAACCAATACTCAGTTACCAGTCACGTCATATTTGGGCAGTAGCGTGATCTTTAAAACTCTTTACATCTTAATATTTCTAGTGCAATCTTATTTTTTTTTTTACTAGTTTGCTTCTCTCTATTGCAAAATTTGGAAACCGCAAAATGAATATCCAAGCAAGACATGCCAGCTTCCCCCCCCCCCACCTCCCCACTCCCCGCCTCTCCAGCGATTTTGCCAATAGAGTACCGAAGCTGTGACGTCATAAAAATCTATTTTTAGAATTTCTCAATTTTGTCTTCATATTCCGAAAGAACATCGAAAATAATGTCCAAATGTCGAAAAACCAATTGAATATGTTAAGTAATGGCTGAGATATGACCATCTGAATAAATATACTGCCCATAGGAACTCAGTGTTATATGCTCTGGCTCCTAATGGTTAGGAGCCAGAGCATATAACACTGAGTTCCCATAGGACATATATTCATTCAGATGGTCATATCTCAGCCAATACTCAACATATTCAATTGGTTTTTCGACATTTGGACATTATTTTTGATGTTCTTTTGGAATATGAAGAAAAAATTGAGAAATTCTAAAAATAGATTGTTGATGACGTCACACTTCACCACTCTATACGCCGGTGGATGTAACGAAATCGTTTTAAGTGTTGCATTCCTTCCTTTCTTTCCTTCTCGCCCCTATCTCTCTCTCTCTCCCTCTCTCTCTCTCTCTCTCCCTCTCTTTTCTCCATACCTGTTGATGATATTGATGACACAGTGCTTGATACCCTCACGGAGGAAGCAGTAGTCTTCATTGTCATCGAAGCCCGCCGTCGACATGTCGCAGAAGTCGACGGGCCGGAAACGGGCGCGGTCCGCCAGGGCCTGGCTCAAGTCACAAGGACACGGGTTCAAATCCTAGAAGAGATTTCAGAGAAGGAAAACGTTTGCACATGCATATAATGACTCTGAGTGATGAGGTATTAAGGAAATGAAGACACAAACTCAGTGACAATGAATTAAGGAAGCGTACCAAGGAACTGAAATGTTATTGTATACAAGATCTACATTTATACATTCATGGTTATCAGTCAAACTGAATTGTAAAATCGTGTGTGTGTGTGTCCTTTTTTTCTGGGGGGGGGGGGAGAGTTAAAACATAAATCATGTACGGATTACGTGTAACACGTTATTTTCCTTTCGCACGTTTCAATTGGAGTTGCCTTTAAAGGCCGTCTGTACTAGTTTGCCTAGGCGGGATTAGACCACCCCATGGGGTCACTGACATGTAACTTTCTCATCAACTCAGCTCTCGATTAACATAAGAAAAAGAGGATCATGGGGGACCAATAGTCACCGATTAGGCATTGTTTTCTATATAGAGGGAGCAAGTAGCTACAAGTAGGACAGTGGGGCTTTAATTGATTTTACTTGCGATCGCGTTTAATATTTGTTATTCCCTGCCATAGCATATTTTCATTCCATAATAAACCTTTATCTCGAGACAATCGCTCTAAACAATTCAGTCATTATACAGCTGTACGGAAAAAAATACTGAATAAAAGATGTATCCTTTTTTGAATGAAATATAGAGTATGACAAACCTGGTCATAATTCCAGACCGGTTCATTGTTCATCTTTTCGTTCCAGATCTCGCATTGCTGATTCGAGTAGGTAGCGGGCGACCGTTGAAATTTATCGTTCATCATATACCCCAGCCAATGGACGTCGCTCCATATAGCAAAGAGTGATCTGCAGGGAAAGGGGAAAATATATATAAATTTTTACTTCTTCGAATTATTGGTGCTTCATGGAATCATCTGGGCCATATAACATAAATATTTACTCACAATCAGGCATCACAGACTTAATCTCTGGGGTACGTCAATTGATTCTGATTTATCATACAAATTTAAAATAAAAAAAAGTGCAGAAAATCCATAGCAAGACTAGCCAAGGGAACGAACAACCGACCAAGGTTCACTCGCTCTCACATATAAAAGAAAAAAGAAAAAGAAAGAAAAGAAAGAAATTGCGATATGCAGTACTTTAGATTTACAATAACTCTGGTTATAATAGGTAGATTTGTAACCGTTTCTCTGACATATGCTGTTTAAAACCTGTTTAATATATGATGTCAATTGACTTTGTTTCATGTTATTACTTTGAATAGTGAGTTAGTGGCCGTCTTCTCCTGAACTGTTGGTCATTCTTCATGCACTTAAAAAAAAAGGGGGAATCAACAAAAAGTCACGATTTTCATGTGTTTTTATGTTACATATTGTATATCTTAGATGCTGCTTGTAAGTGTCGGCTTGCATGGTGATGTAGATATACAGTAGACTAGTAGTCCTTTCCAGGACTCCTCAACCCCCCCTCTCTCTCTCACATGGTGCACCCGCAAGCCTACTGTATAATGTATATCTTGTTTACTTAAAGGGTTGGCCTCTTACAAGGTTTGTTTCCTCTCTGGCCACTGACTTCCTCGCTTTTTATTGTTGTTGTTTGGTTTTATCTGCGTTTCATTCTTTTTTAGAATATTTACATGTACGCCTATGTCTGTTTATATACTAAAACAAAAAACTTTGATTTATACTGGTCCTGTGTACTGGAACTCGTTAGACATTTCGCTCAAACAGCTGCCAGCTACTTTTAAATATCACTTGAAACATAAACTTCTACTCCAGTATGAACATGAGTAAGGTCATCATGATAGAGACCATCGGTATTATCAACACTTGTTGGCTGGCTGCACCACACACCCGTTTTTGTTCTTTTGTTTTGTTTTTTTGTTTCATATATTATGTAACAAATGTATTATGTAAAGGGAACCTTAATTACAAGCATTATGCTTCCAAGGTTTCCTCCTCATTACTACAGATAATTGTTAGCATCATATGTAATTAATGACTTGCCATTACATTGTTTTTATTACTGTTGTATCAATCGAATATTATGTACATGTTTTGTTACCTTGTATATGCCTTACTTTGTAAATTCTTTTCATATGCAGTTAATGTGGAAATAAAACCTAAATAAAAAAATAAAAAAAATAATATATGTATTTTGATCTGTTGATCTCCTGAGGAGAAATAAATGAAACTGAAACGGAGAAGAAGAAGAAGAAGAAAAAAAAAAAAAAATTACCAACCTCTTGTATCTTCGAGTGATTCTGAGAACGCCAACGGCGTTGTCTGGCGTGATGCCACCTATGGCGGAAGGTATCCATTCATAACGTCCAGTGTTTGGCGCGTCATGTTCAATGTCTTCCTGCTCCTCCCAGCTCGGAACTCCGTCCGTCTCACTATACGCTGTCGATGTCGAAAGGGACAATGCAACACGATTGAATTGACAATTTGCTACACAGTCTCACACTCTGAGGGGGGTATTACCCTACCGTAAATTTCGTCCACTGATCCAATTCCTAACTTGTTACCGGAGCCAAACGCTATACCTCATTCGAACCACAACCCTGTCCTTTACCTAAACAATTACCATGAATAATTATATTACCATAAGTCTATGACAAAACAAAACCTGGATAAAATGTCGCTGCAGACATTGTTACGTCATGGTCATTTGTTCTTCTTCTTCTTCATACGTAGACGCCTAGAACTATGAAGGATACTTGAAACGAGTTTCATAGATGAAGTAGACGTGGCTACTGTTTAAAAACGACAACCCACTGACCAGCCCATCCACCTTGCACACCCCAGTCCGTCTTCTCTACTATTCTATACAAAAAAGGGATGGCCGCATAATTTATTTTTAAAAGGATCCGGTAACTTTGTCTCAGATTCTAAAACAAAATCCTGGATTTAGCTCTTGCTGCAATGCTAATTATAAACCTTTAGGTCAGTCAGGAACTCCAAGAATTTTACAAGCCGATCGCCTGACTGGTTATCAAGATATTTATGATTGGAATTACAAATTTTGAAAACCGTTTGCCAAACGGTTTTCATTACACTACAGTATATTGGGGAAAACGTGTATGTTAAAACCGGTCACTCAAAGATGTTTACTTTTTTGAGGCACTTCTTGATCATTTTGAAGCGCAATTTTTGTAGGGCTTCAATATTACACCATATCACAGACACTGATAACACGTAGGGCCGTGCATCTCAGCTTTAACATTTTTAAACGATGCCTTAAATTGGGAAGGCATCCCAAGGCAATCCCCTCACCAATGTATCGATAGACCACTTTTGATCATCATTAACTAGATTATTGCAGTGACTATTTATTGATTACATTTCACTGGCCCAGTCCATCACATTAGTAGGGACTTTTAGGTTTGCACAACGACAACGTGGATTGCTACGATCGACGTCCTTTTAATGCACTGCCTTGAATGGACGTCACACGTATTAGTCAACGCAAATCTTAAAGTCCCTATTAACATTCAATGACGTATCATATGTATTGGAATTGACCTTGAGTTAATTATTTCTTGAAAGTCTTTCCGATCGTATTTCAAGTGGTAATGAAGACATAAAGATGCATGCATATACTCCTATTACTACTACTACTTCTACTACTACTACTACTACTACTAATAATAATAATAATACTGCTATTCTACTACTACTACTACTACTACTACAAATAATAATAATAATATTAATACTGCTATTCTACTACTACTACTACTACTACTACTACTACTACTACTACTACTAATAATAATAATAATACTACTGTTATTCTACTACTACTACTACTACTACTACTACTGCTAT